ACTGGAGATGCCTAAAACAAAAGGTAATGGGACTAGCATGACCCCTCCTACCCCCCTCTATCCTTCTTTACCTGGGTACTCACATTTTACTAATTCTCCGAACTGCCTTTTTATTCTAAGAGACTAGTAAACAGTTATTTTTTTTTAATTTATTTTTGTCTGCGTTGAGTCTTTGTTGTTGCACGTGGGCTTTCCCTTGTTGCGGCAAGCAGGGGCCACTCTTCGCTGCGGTGCGTGAGCTTCTCATTGCGGTGGCTTCTCTTGTTGCAGAGCACGGGCTCTAGGTGTGCAGGCTTCAGTATCTGTGGCACGTGGGCTCGGTAGTTGTGGCTCGCGGGCTCTAGACCTTAGGCTCAATAGTTGTGGCACATGGGCTTCACTGCTCTGCAGCATGTGGGATCTCCTGGACCAGGGCTGGAACCCGTGTCCCCTGCACCGGCAGGCGGATTCTTAACCAGTGCGCCACTAGGGAAGCCCAACAGTTATTTTTAAAAATAAAAACTGCCCAAGATTGCAGGCCATCCTCTTCAGGTATCTTCTACTCCTTAGTCAAAGACTGAACTAGGGGCCATAGCTAAAGGGTTTCCTAAACCCAGGGAGGATTCCAAGAGTTTTTTGAAGAGTTTAGAATCCTTACTGGGGCCTATGACCCGGGGCTGCCAGATCTTTATCAGCTTGTGCCCGGGATGGTGGGACCTGGGGAAACCCAAAAATGGATACAGAAAGCAGAATGGCAAAACACCGAGGATGATACTTGAGATCCTCAACCAAAAAAAAGCTCCCAAAAGAGCCACCAATCTTTTACAAGCCATTCCCAGAGTCTTCCCTGCACTAATTGTTCTACTCTACAAACATTCAAACAAAAGAAAGAACGCTTGTCCTGCGGCATTCCGGATTTCATATAATAAATGGCGTCGCCTAACTTGCTCCAGCTGTCCTATTTGTAAACAGAATATCTCTTGAGATTAGTGGATTAATAAAGGCAGAAAATTAAATGGGAGGCCACTGACCTGACTGAACTCGTGACCATAGCTGAGCACTTTGAAACAAGATGGTAAACGAAGATCTGATGCATTATTGGCTTTATTAACTATGACAGCACCAAGACCAGACCTCAGATAATACTTGGGCCTCCCACATCGCATCCTGCTAGGTCCATCATTAGAACGCCCACCCAAGAAGCAATGTCTCATTGGTAATCAGTTGGGACACTGGAAAAGAAAAATTGTCCTCAAAGTCCTAAACAAATTCCTCAATATCCACGCAAATGTCCCTAAGAGAGAACACCCATCTGGGCCTCTTCCAAAATTGATGGGGGGCTCTGAGGGACCCGCTGGTAACTGCTACCAGCAATACCCTTAAACAGCCCAGGGGAAACAAAAATTAAAATTGATGGAAACCTTGCCAAATTCTGGTAGATCCTGGGCTGCACTCTCCACTTTAAACCCCACTCTCACAGGACAACAAATCCTGTGAAAAAAAGGTTCCCATCTAATAACGTTCAGGGAGAATTTCTATCTCAAGCAATGCAAAATGATCATGGGTAAAGCATTCTTTTTTGCTGTGTGACACAGCCCCAGTTGATGTATTAGGTAGAGATCTCTTTTCTAAATGAAAAGGACTGATATGTTTTGCTTCCCATGGAGACTCCACCTTAGAATTTCCTGACCAACTTGAACCTGATCTTATATGTTCTTTACAATTTGTCCTTGGTTTGCAAGAAGAATTCCAACAAAACTCCCCTAATTTAATCGAGGTGCTCAAAAATCTGTGGGCTACTTCTAATATTGATGTTGGTAGAATAAAAAGTATAAAGCCTGTACATATTCAGATAGATATGGCTAAACTTCTTCCTAAATTGCCTCACTGTCCATTAAAGCCTGAGGCTGTACAAGGCCTCTCAACTTGTCACATAGCAAAAGACCTAATCACCCCAGGGCTGGTCATTTCTGTACCGGCCCCTGCAACACGCAGATCCTCCCAGTATAGCTAATGGGCGGGAAGATGATTTGTCCAGGACTTGAGAACTATTAACAAGATAGTGGTTCCCTGTTTCCCGGTGGTTCCGATCCTGAACCTCCTTTTATCACAAGTTCCAACAGACTCAAAAGGGTTCACTGCTGTGGACCTTTGCTCAGCCTTTGTCAGCATCCCTGTGGACCCCAGCAGCCAATATCTATTCATCTTGACTTGGAACCATCAACAATATACCCGGACAGTCACGCTTCAAGGGTTCACTGAGGACCCCTCCTGTTCCTCCCAAGTTCTCCACCAAGATGTAAGACCCTCCAGTGTCAGGAAATCAACCTTCTACAGCATGGAGATGACATCTTGCTGTGCTCAGTTACCAAAGAGGCATCCATAAAGCATTCCACTTATTTGCTATAAGTAAAAGTTACAATTATCTCTAGACACTGTTCATTACTGAGTCGTAATGTAAGCTCTTGGTGAATCCAGCTATCTCCAAAAATGATTAAACTAAACCAAGGACTTCCTAGGCCCACAACTAAGTGACAGCTTTGTGGCTTTCTAGGCCTAGCTGACTATTTATTGCCTTAGTTTCCTAATTTTTCCCTATTAGCTTCCCCTTTCTATGAACTTACTAAAATTTCTGTCCCTGAACCCCTTCCATGGGAAGATAAACATGGGTAGGCCTTTCTAAGGCTAAAACAAGAACCTCCTGTCCTAGGGCTACCTCACTATTCAAAACCTTTCACCTTATCTGCACAGGAGAGAGAGAACCAGGCCCTGGGAGCATCGAGAGCCTGGTAATAAACACAGGCCTGTCACAGCATCAGCTTGATTCCGTTGTTCCTGCACAGACCATTCTGGGTTGTTTCCTGTGCATCCGGGGCCTGTGCTCCGCAATGGGAGAGACCACAACAGTGAGAGGCCCGCGTACCGCAAAAAAAAAAAATCATGAACCTGAAACCATGACCTATGGACATCACAGAGATGAAGGAAAAAATGGTCCTGACCTGTGAATACCACACAGAGGATGGACAAAAGCTGTGAGAACTACAGAGCAGTAGCTAAGAGTGGTGCTAATGCCTTAAATTTTGATCTCATGTCTCAGTTATTCTGATCAGAAGTGGAGGGGGGCGGGATAGTTTTAAAAAGGAGACAGAAAAAATAAAAAATAAAATAGAATAAATAAAATAAAAAGGAGACAGCAGGCCCCAAATAGAGTCACTTGTGCTAAACCCCACATCAGCAAACCAAGACTTATTACCTGAACTAACTTCAGTTCAACCGCCCAGGATTGTGACCTTTAACCAGTCAACCTGGAAATATCCGGTCAGCACTAGTGAGCTGACCCAGCTGCCAGGCCCTTCCATTCTCCTTAGGAAGGTGACCTTGCCTGAAACAATGCATTCTTTGCTAATAACTTCCTTTTTCCATCGCCTTTCTGCCTTTAAAAACCATTCCTTTCTACAGCTTGGGGAAGCTCCTTTTTATTGCTAGATGGGCTGCTGCCTGATTCATGAATTGTTGAATAAAGCCAATTTGACCTTTAAACTTTTTCAGTAGAATTTTTGTTATTTAACAACCTCATGCCTATACATTGCCAGAGATTACCGGCTGTTCCCCCTTACCCCTCCCACTCCAGCCCATAGAGGTGTTTACTGAAGAAGCCCCACCGATCATGGCACTCCCCTTCCCCATTAAATCAAAACTTTCAATGTCTGTTAGCACTAGGGTGACCAGATGCTCTGATTTGCCAGGGTCGGTGTTAATTTATATCTGTTGTCCCAGCATAATTATTAATGGTGCCTCCTTTTATTCTCAAACGTGCCCTAATTTGGGTGATAAAAATGACATGTTCATCTTACTTATGACTATCCGAATGGAGCATAAACTCCCCACCTTCACAGACTGGCCTCAAGCTTCCTTCTCAAATTTCCCCATCACTTCACACAGACTCCAATCTAACATCTTCCCAGTGGGCCTCCACCCAACTTGATAAACACATTATAATCCCCCCCGCTTCTAGGCATTCGCTCAAACTATACCTGTCTCCTTTCTGCCTGGCCTGAAAGAGCTTTCAAAGAGCCCCTGCACTTGTCCATCCATGAAGACCTGGTTTAAGTTCCAGGATGAAGCCTCCTTAAGTGCTGATAAAGTCTTAGTCTAAATAAACCTCTTGTCAAGGGTTATCTAGGCTTCCTCTGACTTCCTAATGTCTCTTTTCTGTTTATCCTGGGTTGGAGGATGATCAGAGGAGTAATGTCAGGCACAGGGAGAATATCACAGGCTGTTGCAATGGGTCATGGGAGAGATGTGGGGCAAGCATGGCGCTGGCCAGGCAAGGAATAGTGGTGAGAGTCCTGCTGAATAAGAGACAAGCACCTGGGGTCTGGGAAACCTCTCTTGGGGACTGGAATTAGAGGGATGGAAAGGGTTTGTCTAGTCTTGTCAGTTTTACCCTGAATCTCATTGAAGACCAGCAGAACTAAAAGGCCATTTCTCAGGAACACAGTTCCCGCCCCCATAACCATACCTCTCACCCCTACTTCCATCTTTCTCCCTCCCAGCTCAATGTAGATTCCCCAAAAAATATACAAAATATACGACTGCTGACTGTAAGAAAAAATATTTTTTCTGAATTCCTAAAATAACATGTATTTCCATTTAACATTATGAGCCACATCTTTGGTTCACAAGAGCAATGTCTTCTTAAAAATACAAAACATTTTTGTATCGATGATCCTTGCCAGGACGCTTACAAGATTCCAGGGAATTAAAGAGGAAAGAGACAACATTACTCATACATTGCAGGGGATTGAATTGGGGCTCACAGAGGGGGAGGGACCCAACCAAAGCTTTACATTTTAAAAGTAACAACAATTCATGGCAGAGAATTTTTTAAAAAGTCAATAACTTATATGCAATATTTTTTAAAATTATTAAATAAAAGCCATGCCTTTTGGAATGAGATTATCTCAGAATACATCTTAGGAAGACCGGGAGAATGAATCAAGCATTTTGAGGCTCTGGTTTGGTTTTAAAAGGTGAATATTTATGGCTTTAAAGTTTGGGCTTTTTGGTCCAGGTACTTCATGGCATCCTGGACCCATTTCTCCTGGAGATCAACACAGATCTTCTTGTCCTGCTTGGTGCTGAAGCTGTGGGAGAGAGGGAAAGAACTTATTAAGGATCCTCTTTGAAACTTGTGCCAATTTAATCCTGAACCTTCCAGGACCATCTGCCATGGGATGAAGGAGTTGCCATGAGAGCAGAAGAAGGAGATAGAGGAAGGGTGGGATGCTGAGGGTCAGTGGCTGCTCTTGATGGCTCAGTAAAGCCATTCTTGCTCTTGACTCGAAGGGACTGGTATGACCTGAACAAACTTCTAGGCAGGGAACTAGAGGGAAAATTTCCTGTTGTGAAAACTCATGGATTGGATTATAGAGATGGAACTCTCTAAGTGTAAGGCTCCAGTTAACTCTAATGCAGTTTCAAGAGCTCTATCCCCCAGAAATGAAATTTTGGGCTGGGAGAAGGTAGGTTTTGTCTACTTACATCACAGCTTTCTGGGGACATTTGCTGTTGGTGATTCTTCTGTAGCTCTGCAGTCGCTGAATGGGGATCTTCCTTCTGGCCATATTAAAGCAGCAGACAGTTGGGACAGAAGCTGAATTGGGGAGAAATGAATAGAAAGACTGAGCACTAATGATATGTAGATAATTTTTAAGTATGACTTTGTAAGGAAAGAAATTTCAGGAAGGCAAGGAAATGTAAGAGATAGAGGCAGAATCCATCTGCTCCGAGGTCCTGTACCTCTGCCTTTGATTTGGTGTCCCCAGCTGTACAGTAGGGACCCATCGCTACAGGCAAGGATATGGAAAAAGCTTGGTCAATGCAATAAGCTCCAACTTTGTCACTACGAAGAGCTATGTCACTAAGGGATAGTCATAATACTGCTCATCAAATACTCTCCATTCTCTGCTTTCTGGACGCATGGTAGACTTGCAAGTCTTGGCCACTTTTGGTTGATTGGAACCATTAACTGGTTTTGAGCAATAAGTGAGAAGACAAAGTGACAAGTATCATTTCTAAGGTAGCTTTTGTAATTGTCAGTGCAAGACCCTTGAGAGCTTTCTTTTCCTTCATTTACAGTAAGCAGCAATGTTCCCAATCCATCAATTGCCCCATCAATCCAGAATCCTGAGTATATGAAGTCAAAGCTCTAGCCAATACATTATAGATATTTAGTATGAGTAAGAAATTAACCTTTGTTGTTTTAAGCCCTTGATAATTTAGGATTGTTTGTTACCACAGCATGCCTTGTCTTATCCAGACTGCTACATGCAGAAAATCTAAGTCATCAGAAAATGAAAACATGAGTTATGATACAAACATATAGATACAATCACAACACTTCACCTTGATAGACTCCCCTGGGACCTCATTCCCTTCCTCTAACCACTGTTTCTGAAAACTGTCTTGGGATCCAGTAAAATTTTGGGGTGTACAGTCAAAGCATTTTTTTTCTCTCCACCACTGACAAAAATGCCCCCTGTGCCTGCAATAAGAGAGGGTCTTTCTTTTGTGTGCCCCCATCCCCAAACATGCGAAGGCAGCCGGATTATGGATGGACACAACATCACTCTCAATATTCATGTCAGGAAAGAACGTGGGGACTGACCTCAGTAGCCTGGGTTTCTAGTTCTGGCTCTTTCTCTGATTGTGAGGTCGGGGCTCTTCTTGTCCACTCATGGGACCCGTTTTCCCGTCTTTAAAATGACGGGGTCTGCAGCAAGTCTCTGCGGATTCTTGCTGATCTGACAGTTCTGGTGGTGATCAGCTTTGCCTTAGAGAAGGGACTTACCTGGCTGAGCCAGCACCTGGGTGCTGAAGACGGCTGCTGTGAGCAGCAGACACAGAAGTGCTGCAGAGACCTTCATGTTGAGCAGGGAGGTTACCAGCTTCAGCCTGAGAGCTGTTGGTTTCTGGGTTTGTCTCAGCCTCTCTGCAGCTCTGGCTGCTCTACATGACTTTTAAAGACAGCACAGGGTGTGGGAGCTTCCAGGGAAACCTTTGCTTGGCCAGGGTCATGAACAAATTGTGACAAAGGCAGGTCCTGAATTGCTGTTCCAGATCCCAGCAAGTTAACAGGACATAATAGGCAAACGCATTTTTTCATTCTTGCATGTTTTTGGAATGACTGAGCACAGATGGTAACCTAGAAGGTCATTTTTACAAGCTCTGCTTTCTCTGACATGAACCATCTGCAGTGGGGGAAGAGTCAGGGAGACCAAGGGCATGAAGAGATGAGGAGATTCAAGTACCTTCCCTGGTCCCTGTGTTCACATGGTGGTCTTTAGGATTTTAGAGGCCGGAAAGGGACCCTAAAACTTCTGCTAGGCTCCCATCCAAATACAGAGAGATCTCAGCAGCTCTGAACATTGCTTGGTCTCTGGGAACCCAGGAATTGTAGCACATGAGAAACTCACCCCATAATTCAATCTAGTGGTCACAGAATCTTAGTGCCCTGGGATTTTAGTGTTATAGGACATCAGAACTGAATATTTCTTATTTATCTTGACTCCCTGTGCATTCTTTACTCAGTTTTGTTGAGGAAATTTGACAAATAAACATTGTATATATTGAAGGTGTACAGCATGATGGTTTGATATTCACATGCATTATGAAATGATTATTGCAATTAAGTTAACTCACACATCCATCACCTCCATCACCACACGTAGTTAACTTTTTGGGGGGCGTGCATGGTGAGAACCCTTCAGATCTACTCTATTAGCAAATTTCAAGTATATAATATGGTATTATTAACTAGAGTCACCTTGCTGTACATTAGACCCCAGAACTCATTCATCTTATAACTGAATGTTTGTACCCTTTGACAAACATCTCCCCAGAAATACAAATCAAAACCATAATGAGGTATCACTCCACACCTCTTAGGGTGGCTTTTATAAAAAATACAAGGCACAGTAAGTGTTGGCGAGGATGTGGAGAAAAGGGAACCCCTGTACGCTATTGGTGGCAGTGGAAATTGGCGCATCCCCTATGGAAAACAGTATGGAGGTTCCTGGGCATTTCTAAGCTATTTGCTTAGCCGCTAAAGCATTTTCCAAATGAAATCAAATAGCCAAAGCTTGTTCATCAAATACACTGTAGTGGATTGGGTCTGTCTGAAGCATAATAGTTGGCCCACATGCCCTCACACCCCAAGGATTCAAGGAACACATTTGGAAAACCAGCAATCTAGTTCAACCTCACTCCCTGAGCACACATTGCAGACAAAGTGCCCAATGGCTAAAAATATCAAAGAGAAAGAGACAAGAACCTACATGTATCCCCTTCATGCAGAACACTAGGCCCCCTAGTAGGAGACGGTGCAAGAGGAGGTCATAATTAACGGGGTCTTTTAATGAGGTCCTTAATTAAAGTCTTTAATGGGGTCACTGCGGTGAATACAGAATTAAATACTGGTATGGAGGCACTGCAAGGCCATTTCCGGGCTTTTCCTTTACACTCCCGTATCAGATTGGTACAGGTGGCGCAGAGAGGTGTGTTGAGAAGGACTCTGAGGCCTTGCCTTGCATTAGCAGATGACAGTGATGTGGCTGACTGGTCATGTCCATCATGGACATGAGATTAAGAGAGTCCACTTACTGGCCTACATGCTCTCTCAGCTCCCATCTAGAGTAACTGGTCTACAAGTACCTAAAAAGGAATTAAGTAGAGACCAGGAAATCTGGATTTTCCTTACTCTTTCCTGCTCAGCTCCAGATGAAGTGGCCTAGCGTGGTCTCTGGAATCAGGATCCTGAGTTTCGGTGATGGTTCTGCCACTAATTAGCTTGGATACCATGGACAACTCACTAGCCATTCTCTGCTAGGTTAAGATGGGAATAATAATCATGCCTCCCTTAGGGAATTCTTGGGCGGCATAAATGAGTTAATATATGTATAAAGTGCTCAGTGGAGTGAACACTCTGTTACTCCGCAAGTGGAAATTCCTATATATTTGTGTTTAGAAATGGGGCAGATTTTGTGGGCCAGGGGATGCTAGAAAAGGACCTTGAGTCTGATCATATGGTTTCGTCAACATCTTCTCCCCAGTTTTCCCAACTGCTTCCAAGTAAAGGCATGTTATGCTAGGGACATTCTCCAAGAATGCCTGAGTTACACTAGTGGAGGAACCAAGCTCTTCAAAGCTGTGTCAATACAACAAGTTTGGAACATTCAAACATGTTTGGCTGACAAGGTTGAGTGATTATGTCCTCTTAGGAGGAATAATTTCATAACTCTCCTGGGTTTTTAGAGGGCCCTATTAGCAAGGAACTTTACATTCTTGTGTTTCCCTTCAAAGCTCTGGATTTCATCTGGAGCAGAGAAACCTCAGTAGGTAGAAATAAATTAAATCTTTAAACATTTAAGTTCAGTAGCTGTTTTGTCCAGTTGCCCGGCTGTCTCTTACAAGTGGGGACAGCTTCACTGGCTGTCACGTCTCTCTTCCTTGGAAGTTTGTCACTCAGTGGTGATGTGAGCTGGATCCATTACTCGCCTCTGGCCTGGAGCCTGATAAATGTGCGGCTTTGGTCAGGAATGACTCTGAGTGATGGGCAGAACGTGGGTCCTCGCCCTGTGAAATCTGACCTTCCTGAGTGTTTCCCAAAGAATGACTGATGATCAGTGGACAAGGATCCCAGGAAGCCGGACTCCTTGTTTGTTTTGCAGCTCTGCTCCAGATTTCCTCTAATAATGCAAAGTTATACACAGAATTGAAAGAGACATTAACATTCATTTTATTCCAATCCTTTCTTAAAAAAAAAAAAAGAATAGAGACCTTAAGCTTGGGGACCACTGACAAAATCCCTAAGGCAACATGGTGTGTTTTATTTTTTACTTTTATTATTTTTTTAACATCTTTATTGGAGTATAATTGCTTTACAATGGTGTGTTAGTTTCTGCTTTATAACAAAGTGAATCAGTTATACATATACACATATCCCCATATCTCCTCCCTCTTGCATCTCCCTCCCATCCTCCCTATCCCACCCCTCTAGGTGGTCACAAAGCACCGAGCTGATCTCCCTGTGCTGTGCGGCTGCTTCCCACTAGCTACCTATTATACATTTGGTAGTATATATAAATTCATGCCAACCTCTCACTACATTCCAGCTTACCCTTCCCCATCCCCGTGTCCTCAAGTCCATTCTCTACATCTGCATCTTTATTCCTGTCCTGCCCCTGGGTTCTTCAGAAACATTTCTTTTTTTTTTTTTAGAATCCATATACATGTGTTAGCATATGGCATTTGTTTTTCTCTTTCTGACTTACTTCACTCTGTATGACAGACTCTAGGTCCATCCAACTCACTACAAATAACTCAATTACGTTTCTTTTTATGGCTGAGTAATATTCCATTGTATATATATGGCCACATCTTCTTTATCCATTCATCTGTTGATGGACATTTAGGTTGCTTCCATGTCCTGGCTATTGTAAACAGAGCTGCAATGAACATTGTAGTACATGAGTCTTTTTGAATTATGGTTTTCTCAGAGTATATGTCCAGTAGTGGGCTTGCTGGGTCATATGGTAGTTCTATTTTTAGTTCTTTAAGGAACCTCCTTACTATTCTCCATAGTGGCTGTATCAATTTACATTCCCACCAACATTGCAGGAAGGTTCCCTTTTCTCCACACCCTCTCCCACATTTACTGTTTGTAGATTTTTTTGTAATGGCCACTCTGACCAGTGTGAGGTGATACCTCATTGTAGTTTTGATTTGTATTTTTCTAATGATTAGTGATGTTGAGCATCTTTTCATGTGTTTGTTGGCAATCTGTATGTCTTTGGAGAAATTCTATTTAGGTCTTCTGCCCATTTTTGGATTGGGTTGTTTGTTCTTTTGATATTGAGCTGCATGACCTGCTTGTATATTTTAGAGATTAATCCTTTGTCAGTTGCTTCGTCTGCAAATATTTTCTCCCCTTCTGAAGGTTGTCTTTTCATCTTGTTTAAGGTTTCTTTTGCTGTGCAAAAGCTTTTAAGTTTCATTACGTCCCATTTGTTTATTTTTGATTTTATTTCCATTGCTCTAAAAGGTGAGTCAAAAAAGATCTTGCTGAGATTTATGTCAAAGAGTGTTCTGCCTATGTTTTCCTCTAACAGTTTCATAGTGTCTGCTCTTACATTTAGGCCTTTAATCCATTTTGAGTTTAGTTTTGTGTATGGTGTTAGGGAGTGTTCTAATTTCGTTCTTTTACATGTAGCTGTCCAGTTTTCCCGGCACCACTTATTGAAGAGGCTGTATTTTCTCCACTGTATATCCTTGCCTCCTTTATCAAAGATAAGGTGACCATGTGTGCATGGGTTTATCTCTGGGCTTTCTATCCTGTTCCATTGATCTATATTTCTGTTTTTGTGCCAGTACCACACTGTCTTGATTACTGTAGGTTTGTAGTATAGTCTGAAGACAGGGAGCCTGATTCCTCCAGCTCTATTTTGCTTTCTCAAGATTGCTTTGGCTATTCGGGGTCTTTTGTGTTTCCATACAAATTGTGAAATTTTTTTCTTCTAGTTCTGTGAAAAATGCCAGTGGTAGTTTGATAGGGATTGCAATGAATCTGTAGATTGCTTTGGGTAGTAGAGTCATTTTCACAATGTTGATTCTTCCAATCCAAGAACATGGTACATCTTTTCATCTGTTTGTATCATCTTTAATTTCTTTCATCAGTGTCTTATAGTTTTCTGCATACAGGTCTTTTGTCTCCTTAGGTAGGTTTATTCCTAGGTATTTTATTCTTTGTCTTGTAATGGTAAATGGGAGTGTTTCCTTAATTTTTCTTTCAGATTTTTCATCATTAGTGTAGAGCAATGCAAGAGATTTCTTTGCATTAATTTTGTATCTTGCTACTTTACCAAATTCATTGATTAGCTCTAGTAGTTTTCTCGTAGCACCTTTAGGATTCTCTATGTA